CAGCAGTGCGCTGGCGAAGTCGCAAGGGCCAGTGCAGTGTAATAGCGTGAGGACCAAAACGCTCACGGTGGAGGTCAAGTCGACGATCGCAGCTGGACACAGAGTGGTCAGGACTCCAACAGGTAGTGCCAGCACAAGGGCCTGTCAGTGCCTGGTACCCGCAGGGGCCGACATCTCGCCCACTTCTAGCTGAGCCACTGCTGGGGGCGCCACACTTTGGATCCGCAGATCCCCACTGCCGAGAGTGCTGCGGCTGGCCCTGCTGCTGTAGAATTTTAGTACACGCCATGTGAGTAGCTAGAAACGGGGGGAAGGGGGGGGGGGGGGGGGGGGGGGGGGGGGGGGGGGGGGGTGGAGGGGGCGCTGGCGGTAGCCTAAGCTGTTGCTGGTGCGCTGGGGGCAGCCTACAGTGCTGCTAGTTCTGTTGGGGCAGCCTGAGCTGCTGCTGGACAGGTGGGGGTGCTGGATAGGTGGAGCTACTAGACAGGTAAGGCAGCTGGACAGGTAGGGCTGCTGGACAGGTGGGGCTTCTGGACAGGTGGGGCTGCTGGACAGGTGGGGCTGCTGGACAGGTGGGGCTGCTGGACAGGTGGGGCTGCTGGACAGGTGGGGCTGCTGGACAGGTGGGGCTGCTGGACAGGTGGGGCTGCTGGACAGGTGGGGCTGCTGGACAGGTGGGGCTGCTGGACAGGTGGGGCTACTGGCGCATTTCTAGCAGTTGGTGGCACTGCTAGCACGGTTCTAGTGGTTGCTGGCACTGCTAGCACGGTTCTAGCAGCTGTTGGATGTCAAGCTGGCTAGGGTTTGGTGCCTTCTTTTCACTAACGCCACAAATACTCGATACACAAGTGTCAGCCAATAAGAGGAGTTGGCGGCACACCTGCTCGCGCCACCTGTCATCCCCCAAGCCCTACGAGAACCCACCTTCGTCTCAGCACCCTGAGCATACTTATCCCATGCCTTCTCTTATTTCAACACTTCTCCTTTTGTTCTAGCTGCTCCAATTTGTTCTTTTCTTAGCTTGTCTTGCAGATACCCGGCAGTCTTAGCATGACTTGCAGATACACAACTGTTTTCCACCTCTTTACTTGCTGTACGTTTTTTTATGTCTCCCGTTTTTGCTTGTTGCAGACAAACACACAATGCCTGCATCTAAGGTGATTACTCTCCTACCCACACCATCGGATTACACTTAAGGCTTTGTGTTTGTTTTCTCTGGTACTTCTTGCTAGCGGTGTACATGAATGTTTGAGGAAGTTCCCTATGATTCTCCCTTCAATGTCCGTTTTGTGCCTCTACAAAAAAAAAAAAAATCGTGTTTCGCAGCCGATATTGACAAGACTCTCCTCGATCCATATTGTTGCGGTTCCGGTTAAGCACATGCAAAGATAACGACGAAGATCTTTATACCCCCTGCTTATGCCACCCCTCCCGCACCACCAACAGATGCGCTCGACGTGGCGACAGTTGCGCACGAAACGGAGACGAGGACTTTTGTTGGCAACAACAGCTATTGACGAACCGAAAGCGACGCAGCAAGTAGATGCTTCAGGTGCGTTATGTGATAAGGTATAAGCGTGTGCCATTCCTCCGGTTCCGTCTACAACCTCCCATCTAACCCGCTTTCGCGATACGCACTCGTGCATTGCTATTTGCATGATGTGCATGAAACTGTCCACGAATGGAAGCACTCCTTCCCTTCACCATCCGCCGCTCCTCCTCTTTACCTCCCTCCCCCCCCCCCCCCCCCCCCCCCCCCCCCCCCCCCCCCCCCCCCCCCCCCCCCCCCCCCCCCCCCCTCTCTTTCCCACAGCACCCTCGAAGAGGCGGAAGGCAATATGACGGCGTCGAGCACAGGTGAGAGTCGTGGCGGTTTAGCCGTGGCAAGCACTTCCACGTCTTCATCAAGTATTCACCCCATGCGTAAGTGAGGGGTTTCCCAGTGAAGATTGTGGGGGATGAGAGGGAGGACAAGGGTTGTGCATGTCAGAACATTATAGCTTACTTATTTGTGTAGGCTATAGTGGGGTATCCCATAGGGGGTACAACCCAATTAGGGTTTCATATTTGTACTCACTTCATTCATAGTTCATTCATTCTCGTTCACTTCTTCTCATGGTAACGAGCAGGTTCCCCTGTGGGACCTGTGCTTAGGGCCCACCACCTCGAAACGTCTTTTTTTTTTCTGCCCTAGCCGCTAGAGCACCGCCCGCCCTCGAACGTGAGCGCCGCCCCTAGCGCCCTAGCGCCCGTCCGCTGCCTGCTCTAGCGCTAGCCGCCCGACGCGCCGCCCACAGCGCTGCCCGACGCGCTGCCCTAGCGCCGCTCGACGCGCCAGCCTAGCGCCGCCCGACGCGCTGCCCGACGCGCCGCCCTAGCCCCGCCCAACGCGCTGCCCTAGCGCAGCCCGTCGCGCTGCCCGTGCAGCCGCCCTAGCGCCGCCCGTCGCGCTGCCCAACGCGCCGCCCGTAGCGCTGCCCGCTGCCCGCCCTAACGCCCGTGCAGCCGCCCGTGAGCCGCCCGCTCGCCGCACCAGCCGCCCGTGCTGCCGCCTGTGAGCCGCCTGCGAGCCGCCCGCGAGCCGCCCGCGAGACGCCCACGACGCCCGAGCCGCCCGAGCCGCCCGAGCCGCCCGAGGAGCCGATCTTCTGCTCCTGTGGGGCTCCCGCTGCTCCTGGGCCTGCGCAGCTGCTGTACTGCCGTGTTGCTGTGCCGCTGTGCTACCCGACTCTTCCTGCCCGGTGAGACTGTCAGCTGCTACAATGGCCACCCCCACTGTCCTGACTTTTGACGCTGAGGGTCGCGCCATTGACTTTGCAGTCTGGATTGAGGACCTGCAGCTGTACTTACTGTGCGATGCGATCGATGAGGTTTCTCTCTTTGACTTTGTCTCTGGCGCTATCCCTGCCCCTCCTGCTGATGCTGACCCCACTGTTCGCTCCAAGTGGGCCACACGCGATGCTGCTGCACGTCTTGCTGTGCGTCGCCACCTCCCTTCCTCCGAGCGTGCACACTTTAGTCAGTGCAAGACCGCTCAGGCCTTGTACGACGCTGTAGTTGCGCGCTACTCCTCCCCTTCCACTGCTACACTGAGCCGCCTCATGCTACCGTACCTCTTCCCTGACCTTGCTGCCTTTCCCACAGTCACTGACCTCTTTACCCACCTTCGCGCTAGTGACACTCGCTACCGAGCTGCCCTTCCTGCTGCCTTCCTCGCCGAAAACCCCCCTCCCATGTACATCACCCTCTACTTTCTAGTCACCCGTCTCCCTGAGTCCCTTCGTGCTGTTAGGGACCAGTTTCTCTCTGTCTGTCCCACAACCCTCACTGTCGACCTCCTTGAGAAGTCCCTGCTAGCGGCCGAGAAGAGCATAGTCGCTGTAGGGGCCTCTCGTGGTGACCCGCGCACCCCCATCTTTGAGGGGTGTTCTCCGTCCCCCCTGCTACCCTCTATCGCCTCTGCTGCTGCGGCCGACCTCGTTGGTTTAGAGTCGGTCGGTGCGGCGTCTGCCCCCAGCGGTAGGCGCCGCTCTGGCAGGAGCAAGGCGGGCAAGGGAGCGGGTGGAGCTAGCAGGGGCGGTGGCGGAGGAGGTGGGGGTGGCAGGGGGAGTGGGGGTGGCAGTGGGGGTGGAGGCGGGAGTGGAGGTACTGGTGGCGGCGGTGGAGGCGGAGGTGGCGGCGGAGGTGGTGGCGGAGGAGGCAAGTGGGAGCGGCGGGGGCGAGGGTGGCGGTGGCGGCGGTGGCGGCGGAGGCGGGGATGGCGGTGGTGGAGGTGGTCGGAGTGGCTCGTCCCAGAGGAGCGGCACTGGGGGTGGTCAGCGCCAGCAGCAGCACCAGCAGCAGCAGCAGCAGCAGCAGCAGCACTCTCGCGACGTCCCCGCCCCTCAGCAGCTCCGTGAGTGGTACTCGCAGCGTCAGCGTGGTGGGGCGTTCGGTCCCTGCACCTACGTCCTTCGCACCGGCGACCGCGCGGGTGAGCAGTGTGAGGGCACCCACACCGTTCGCCGCTGCTTTGCCCGCCTGACCGACGCTTGGCGCCAGCAGTTTCCGGAGGCCTCTGAGATCCCCCGCTGGGGAGAGCTATCTAGGGCTGGTGTAGCTGTGTTTGATCTTGACTTTGATGCTATCCTTGCTGCCATGTATGCTGTGACTGTTAGTGATGATGGTGAGTGTTACCGGTGCTTTCCGCCCGACCCGGGCATTGGTACTGCTGTGTCAGGTGCCAGTGAGGCTGCTGCTCTAGGTGCCAGTGCGTCTGTGCTCTCAGGTGCTAGTGAGTCTGCCCTCTCAGGTACTGTGTCGGCTTCTGCCTCCCACACCTTCACCCTTGACTCTGGGGCGTCTCGCTCCTTCTTTCGGGACCGCACCACTCTCACGCCGCTTAGTCGGCCGGTTGCGGTGTCCCTGGCTGACCCCTCTGGGGGTCCTGTCCTGTCTCGTTTCTCCACAGTCCTCCCGTGTCCGGCGGCTCCCTCTGGCACCCTGACTGGTCTTTACCTCCCCTCGTTCTCTACGAACCTGGTGAGTGGTGCTGACCTACAGGATGTGGGGGTCCACCAGTTCACTCCTGCTCGTCAGCGGGTGACACACTGCACAGAGGCTAGCACAGGTCGCCACCTGGCTACGTTTACACGTCAGCCAGGGTCGAGCCTGTACACACTGACCACTGCTTCTCCTCCCAGGTGCTGAGTCTGGTAGAGTCCCTTCGTCTGGTCAGGTGTTTGCTGCAGCGTCCAGGTCTGGTCCTGAGTCTGCCCCCTGTTCGTGTCGCCGTCTGTCTCACGAGACTCTCCTCTGGCACCACCGCCTTGGCCACCCCTCTCTGCTTCGGCTCAGAGGCATGGCCTCCCGTCTTCTTGTGTCTGGTCTCCCCCGGTCCCTCCCTCCCCTTCCTCAGGGCCCTGGCCCTGCCTGTGTCCTCCTGTGTCGAGGGGCGCCAGCGTGCTGCCCCTCACTCCTCCCAGTTTCCTCCGACAGAGGCTCCGTTGCAGACACTTCACATGGACGTGTGGGGCCCTGCCCGCGTCCGTGGACTCGGTCACGAGCGCTACTTCCTGTTGGTGGTTGACGACTACTCGCTGTTACACCACAGTCTTCCCCTTGCGCAGCAAGGGTGATGTCACTGAGGTGCTGATCGACTGGATCCGCGCAGCTCGTCTCCAGCTCAGGCAGAGCTTTGGCTCGGACTTTCCTGTGTCTGCGTCTGCACTCGGACAGAGGCGGAGAGTTCTCCTCTGGCCTTCTGCGTGCCTTCTGTCGTGCGCGAGGCATCCGCCAGACCTTCACGCTTCCTGGACTCTACCGCAGCAAAATGGGATTGCAGAGCGCCGCATTGGCATGGTCATGGACGTCGCTCGTACGTCTATGATGCATGCGGCTGCCCCCCATTTTCTGTGGCCGTTTGCGGTTCAGGTACGCGGCGCATCAGATCAACCTCCACCCCAGGGTCTCCAGGCCGGAGACCTCCCCAGCCCTGCTGTGGACGGGGAAGGTTGGCGATGCGTCGGCGTTCCGAGTCTGGGGATCTCGGGCGTTTGTCCGCGACTTGTCTGCGGACAAGCTGTCCCCTCGCGCTGCTCCCTGCGTCTTCCTGGGGTTCCCCCCCGACGCCCCTGGGTGGCAGTTCTACCACCCCACCTCTCGACGTGTTCTGTCCTCCCAGGACGTCACGTTCGACTGAGTCGGTACCCTACTACCGCCTCTTCCCCTACCGCACTCCTTCCCTTCCCCCGCCCCCGCTCTTCTTGGTACCAGGTCCCCCCCCGGTAGACCCCCTCCCCCCTCAGGGTCCTGCCCCTTCAGGTGTGTCCCAGGTAGACGCGGTCGAGCCTGTCGAGGTCACTTGTGACTTTGGTGCTGCTGCGGGAGCTGAGCCTGGGGGTGCTGAGCCTGGGGGTGCGGAGTCTGGGGGTGGTGAGCCTGGGGGTACTGAGCCTGGGGGTGCTGAGCCTGGGGGTGCTGAGCCTGGGGGTGCTGAGACTTGGGGTGCTCCGCCTGGAGGTCTTTTGCCTGAGGGTGCTGAGTCTGGAGGTTCTCCGCCTGGAGGTGCTTCGTCTCGCCGAGAGCCACTCTCCCCACAGGAGCTGCGTGAGTGGTTTGCCCGGCGCTGGAGGCGTATTGCTGGTGCTGGAGGTTCTTCGGCTGCAGAGGGTGCTGCTGCCGCGTGTCCCGGAGGTACTCGTGCTGTGGGTGCTCGAGCTGCTGGGCCTGCTGGTTCTCCTGGAGCTGGTGCTGCTGAGGGTGTTGGCGCTGAGACTACGGCTGGCGGTCTGACAGGCAGTGCTCCTGGTGCTGCTGGGAGTTCTGGAGCTGCTGCTGGTGCTGCTGGAGGTGCTGCTGGAGGTGCTGCTGGAGCGGGTACTCCTGCTGGGGGTACTGGTGCTGTCCCTACTGTTTCTGGCGTCGCCACGCGGCCCCGACCGTACTTCGCTCCGCTCCTACAGCAGGTTCTTGGTCTTACACCTTCTCCTGGTCCTCCTCCGCCTCCCTTAGAGGGTCTACAGCCTGTCCAGTCCCAGTCACAGCTACAGCCTGCCTCCCCTTTGCCTGCTCCTTCTCCCTACGCTGGTCCGACTGGAGGTCTTACTGAGCGTCGTGAGCCTGCGTCTCGTCCTGCGTCGCCTGTTCGCCCTGCACGCACTAGTGGTCGCGGTTCGCGTCAGCGTCCTCCTCCTGTCCCTGGCACGCACCGGATGTCTCTGCGCCCGTCCACTGCTCCTCTGCGTGCCCCTTTGCCTTCTCCTCCTGAGTCCTCTCTTCCTACTCTTGCCGACCCGGAGTCGGACTCTCTTCGTGCTGCCAGTCCCACTATCACGCGTCTCCTTGCTACTGCTGTCACTGACCCTTCCTTCGAGTCGTCTGCTGCGTCTTGCCCTTGTCACTGAGCTTGTCGACTTTGCTGCGTGTTGTCCTCTTGACTACGCTGCTAGTCTTGTCGCTGAGTCTGAGTCTGCCTGTCCTCCGTCCGTCGGGGGTGAGTGTGCCCTAGGCACGGACGTCCTTGAGGACAGGCAGGAGGAGTTCCAGTGTCTGGCCGCCGCTTCACCTCATCTCGCGTCTGTACTGCTCGCCCCTGAGGGAGACCTGGATGCACTAGACATCCCGACTCCGCGCTCTTACGCAGGAGGCGATAGAGGGTCCCTACTCCTCTCAGTGGCAGGCAGCTATGGATGCAAAGATGGCTTCCTGGAAGTCCACAGGCACCTACGTTGACGCTGTTCCCCCTCCTGGGGCGAACATCGTCAGTGGCATGTGGATTTTCAGGGTGAAGCGGCCGCCGGGTTCTCCGCCTGTCTTCAAGGCGCGTTACGTGGCTCGTGGCTTCAGTCAGCGGCAGGGAGTTGACTACTTTCAGACCTTCTCCCCCACCCCGAAGATGACCACTCTTCGGGTACTGCTGCACGTTGCTGCTCACCGTGACTACGAGCTGCACTCTCTCGACTTCAGCACTGCTTTCTTGCAGGGCAGCCTGCACGAGGAGATCTGGCTGCGTCGCCCACCTGGCTTCACTGGGTCTTTCCCTCCTGGTACCCAGTGGAGTCTCCGGTGTCCAGTCTACGGTCTCCGCCAGGCGCCACGTGAGTGGCACGACACACTGAGGACTACGCTGGCGGCACTTGGGTTTGCTCCTTCTACTGCCGACCCGTCGCTATTTCTGCGCACCGACACCTCTCTGCCGCCGTTCTACATCCTCGTGTACGTCGACGACTTGGTCTTTGCCACAGCTGACACTGCTGGACTCGCCCACGTGAAGTCCGAGCTGCAGAAGAGACACACGTGCACTGACCTGGGTGAACTGCGCAGCTACCTTGGCTTGCAGATCACCCGGGACAGAGCACGCCGCACCATTACCCTGACTCAGTCACACATGGTGCAGCAGGTCCTTCAGCGCTTCGGCTTCACGTACTTCCTCGCCTCAGGCCACTCCTATGCCTACTCGTCACTCGCTCTCAGCTCTGCCTTCGGATGAGTCCGTAGAGTCGAGTGGCCCGTATGCAGAGCTTGTTGGCTGCCTCATGTACCTGATGACCTGCACACGACCTGACCTTGCATACCCTCTTAGCATTCTTGCACGCTATGTTGCTCCTGGGAGACACAGACCAGAGCACATGGCTGCAGCGAAGAGGGTGTTGCGCTACTTGTGCAGTACGTCGGGCATGGGGCTAGTGCTTGGAGGGCGCAGTCCAGTGGTCCTCACTGGGCACGCGGACGCTTCTTGGGCTGACGACCAGGCTACGCAGCGGTCGTCACAGGGTTACACCTTCAGCCTTGGTTCCGGCTCTGTTTTGTGGCGGGCTACCCGCTCGTCTTCTGTTCTCGGCTCCAGTTGTGAGGCTGAGATCTACGCCGGGGCTATGGCTGCTCAGGAGCTTCGCTGGCTCACCTACCTGCTGACCGACCTTGGAGAGCCGCCTCGTTCTCCTCCAGTCCTGTACGTAGACAACAAGGCCATGCTGGCCTTGTGTCGAGAGCAGCGACTGGAGCACAGGACAAAGCACATTGCTCTGTTCTACTTTCTTGCTCGTGAGCTACAGCAGCGTAGGACAGTTGCGACTTGCGTACGTGGCCTCTGAGGCCAACATTGCTGATGTCTTCACCAAGGCACTTGCGCCTTGTGATCATCAGCGTTGCTGCACGCAGCTGGGTCTTGTGCCTGTCTTGCCTCACTTGCTCACTTCTTGACCTTGCTTGTACCTTGACCTATATATACTCTTGCTCTTGTTTTGCTTGACTCTTGTATATCTCTATATATGATCTTGCATGTGAACTGGCCTTGTGGCCCTTGAACTTGTGCTCGGAATGTGTGGTGACTTTGTGACTTTGCTTTGCTTGACTGGTCTTGTGACCCCTTTTTCTCCCCCACTTTGCCTATGGGGGTGTGTCAGAACATTATAGCTTACTTATTTGTGTAGGCTATAGTGGGGTATCCCATAGGGGGTACAACCCAATTAGGGTTTCATATTTGTACTCACTTCATTCATAGTTCATTCATTCTCGTTCACTTCTTCTCAGTGCAGATGCCTCGGCAAGCGTGGAAGACTGGAAGACCAGGATATGGAGTTGGACCGTGTTTGATAGTGGCCGTGCCTCTTTGTCGTGGTGCCAATTGTCAGAACGAGAAGCTAGAATGATGGCATTGAATGTATTGTGGGTACAAGTACTAACCCTAACATTGGGTTGTACCCCATAAGGGTGTCAGAACATTATAGCTTATGCTGTTGTGTAGGCTCTAGTGGGGTATCCCACAGGGGGTACAACTCAATTAGGGTTAGTACTTGTACCCACTTCTTCCATAGTTCATTTATTCTCGTTTCAGTTTTCTCATGGTATCGAGCAGGTTCCCTCGTGGGAACTGTTCCTAGGGCCCTACTACTGCTTCCTCTGCTACTCGATCTGTCGCACGCCCCGTGGCATGCAAACGGCGCGCGGCGATTTTCTTTCTGGCGCCCGACCCGAGGCGCGCGGCCCCGCTACCCTCGTCGCGCCGCCCTCGCGGCCCCGATCCGCCGCCCTAGTGGCCCCGTCACCTACACCTGCGGCCTCAGCGCCACCCTTCCCGGCCCCGGCTCCGCCCTTCCTGGCCCCGGCGCCACCTCGGCTGGCCCCGTCGCCTACCTCGGCGACCGCGACGCCGCCCTTCCCGACCCGGCCCCGCCTCTGCTGGCCCCGTCGCCTGCGCCTGCGGCCCCGGCTCTGCCCTTCTCGGCCCCAGCGCCACCTCGGCTGGCCCCGTCACCTACCCCGGCGACCCCGACGCCACTCTTCCCGACCCGGCCCCGCCTCTGCTGGCCCCGTCGCCTACCCCTGCGGCCCCGGGCGCTGCCCTTCCCGGCCCCGGCGCCGCCTCTGCTGGCCCCGTCGCCGCTCCACCCGGCCCCGCCGCCGTCCCTAAGCGGCCCCACCGTCACCACCGAGCCGCCGGCGCTGGCGAGCTAGTGCTGAGCTGCCCGAGCCGCAGCGCCACCTCAGCCGCCCGAGCCGCCGAGCTGCAGTTGCTGCCGAGCCGTCGTACCGCCGAGCCGCCCGAGCCGCCGAGCCGCCCGAGTCGCCCGAGCCGCCGAGCCGCCCGAGTCGCCCGAGCCGCCGAGCCTCAGTTACTGCCGTGCCGCCGAGCCGCCCGAGCCGCCCGCACCGCCAAGTCGCCGAGTCGCCGAGTCGTCGAGCCTGCTCTTCCCACCACGGTGAGCCCCTGCTTGCTTGGCTGCCTGCCTTACTGCTGCTACTACTGCTCCTGCTTCTACTGGCGGAGCCAGATGCAGCCCCAGCGACGTCCGCGTGAGTCCCTCACGCCCCAGCAGCTGCGTGAGTGGTACGCTGGTTGGGGTTGTAGGGGTGGCGGCGCTGCTACTGCTACCACTACTACTGCTACTACTACTGGCGGCAGGCCATATGCAGCTCCAGCGACGCCCACGCGCGTCTCTCACGCCCCAGCAGCTTCGTGAGTGGTACGCTCAGAGTAGAGGGTCTCTCAGTTCTGTTCGCTGCTCTTACGTGATTCGCACTGGTGCTCGGACTGGTCAGCCTTATGGGACGCCTAGTCACACACAGTCTCGCTTCTTCGCCCAGTCTGAGCGACGCATGGCGTACCGAGTTTGGCGACGAGGCTGAGCTCCCCGACTAGGTGGAGTTGCTTAGGCAGAGGGTAGATATATTTGCTCTTGACTATGATGCTATTCTCACTGCCATGTATGCTTTGCCTACTAGTGCTGACCGTGCCGGTCACCTATGCGTACCGCCTGACCCAGGTATAGAGCCTGCTGCTCTAGCTGCTGGTGAGGCTGCTGCTCTGGGTGCTAGTGAGTCTCCTACTCCAGGTACAGGTGCGGCTGCTGCTCTAGGTGCTAGTGAGTCTGCTTCCTCAGGTGCTGGTGAGTCTGCGCTTTCAAGGTACTGCGTCGGCTTCGGCCTCCCACACATTCACACTTGACTCGGGGGCTTCTCGCTCCTTCTTTCGAGACCGCACCACACTCACGCCGCTTGGTCAGCCAGTTGCAGGTCTCTCTGGAAGACCCCTCTGGGGTACCTGTCCTTGCTCACTTCTCCACTGTCCTCCCGTGTTCGGCGGCCCCCTATGGCACCATGTCTGGTCTTTACCTCGCCTCTTTCTCTACGAACTTGGTGAGTGGTGCTGACCTACAGGATGCGAGGGTTCACCAGTTCACTCCTGCGAGCCAGTGGGTGACCCATTGCACGGACGCTCGGACGTGCCGACACTTGACCACGTTTACTCGTCGGCCGGGGTCGAGCCTGTACACACTCGACCACTGCGTCCCCTCCAGCCACTGCGTCTAGTCAGGTAGCTGCGTCGGGTCAGGTGTTTGCTGCAGCGTCCAGGTCTGGTCCTGAGTCTGCCCCCTGCTTGTGTCGCCTCCTGTCTCACAAGACTCTCCTCTGGTACCACCGCCTTGGTCACCCCTCCTTGCTTCGTCTCCGAAGCGTGGCCTCCCGTGTCCTTGTCTCTGGTCTTCCCCGGTCCCTCCCTCCCCTTTCCCCCGGGGCCTGCCCCTGCCTGCGTCCCCTGCGTCGAGGGGCGGCAGCAGGCTGCCCCTCACTCCTCCCTGTTTCCTCCGACAGAGGCCCCGCTGCAGACGCTTCACATGGACGTGTGGGGCCCAGCCCGCGTCCGTGGACAGGGTCACGAGCGCTTCTTCCTGCTGGTGGTTGACGACTACTCGCGTTACACCACAGTCTTCCCCTTGCGCAGCAAGGGTGATGTCACTTAGGTGTTGATCGACTGGATCCGCGCAGCTCGTCTCCAGCTCAGGCGGAGCTTTGGCTCGGACTTTCCTGTTCTGCGTCTGCACTCTGACAAAGGCGGAGAGTTTTCCTCTGGCCTTCTGCGAGCCTACTGTCGTGCACGAGGCATCCGCCAGACCTTCACGCTTCCAGAATCTCCACAGCAAAATGGGATTGCTGAGCGTCCGCATTGGCATGGTCATGGACGTCGCCCGTACGTCCATGATGCATGCGGCTGCCCCCCATTTCCTGTGGCCATTTGCGGTCTAGTACGCGGCGCATCAGATCAACCTTCAGCCCAGGGTCTCCATGCCGGAGACCTCCACTGCTTTGCTGTGGACGGGGAAGGTTGGCGATGCGTCTGCGTTCCGTGTCTGGGGATCTCGGGCGTTTGTCCGCGACTTGTCTGCGGACAAGCTGTCCCCTCGTGCTGCTCCTTGCGTCTTCGTGGGTTCCCCCCCTGACGCGCCAGGGTGGCAGTTCTACCACCCCACCTCTCGCCGTGTTCTGTCCTCCCAGGACGTCACGTTCGACGAGTCGGTCCCCTACTACCGTCTCTTCCCCTACCGCACTCCGTCCCTCCCCCCGCCACCACTCTTCCTTGTGCCAGGTCCCCCCCCGGTAGACCCCCTCCCCCCTCAGGGTCCTGCCCCTTCAGGTGTTTCCCAGGTAGATGCTGTTGAGCCTGTCGGGGTCGCTAGTGACTCTGGTGCTGCTGAGGGTGCTGAGCCTGCGGGTGCTGATTCTGGGGGTGCTGAGCGTGTGGGTGCTACGCCTGGAGGTGCTGAGCCTGGGGGTGCGGAGCTTGAGGGAGCTGGGCCTGCTCGTATGGACACAGAGATGGCTTCCTGGAATTCCACAGGCACCTACGTTGACGAGGTTCCCCCGCCTGGGGCGAACATCATCAGTGGCATGTGGATCTTCAGGGTGAAGCGGCCGCCGGGTTCTCCGCCTGTCTTCAAGGCACGGTACATGGCTCGTGGCTTCGGTCAGCGGCAGGGAGTTGACTACTTTCAGACCTTCTCTCCCACCTCGAAGATGACCACTCTTCGGGTACTGCTGCACGTTGCTGCTCACCGTGACTACGAGCTGCACTCTCTCGACTTCAGCACAACTTTCTTGCAGGGCAGCCTGCACGAGGAGATCTGGTTGCGCCGCCCACCTGGCTTCACCGGGTCGTTCCCTCCTGGTACCCAGTGGAGTCTCCGGCGTCCAGTCTACGGTCTCCGCCAG